AGGCTCGGCCTGCAACGACAAGTCACACGGCTGGCTCAGGCTCGACCTGAGCATGGGCTTGTTCCTTCGAGCCACGAGTTGGGCTGAATCAAATTTTTTCGGGTCAAACCCTGAGTCGATGAGCCAATTTTATACCTTTGCCACTGAGTAATTAAAGAACAAACTCGTATTATCCTAGACGCCTGTAAAAGCCGTGCGCTCAAACGCCGTCGGGTGCATACCCACGCAAACTATACTGCAGCTCTGCTAAATTTCCATTCATCTTCCAAAGCCCAGAAGGCAAATACCGTCAAAATTCCCAGGTTTTTTTCTTAGCTTAGTAATCTCTTCAATTTAATCTCTCTCCACCGACACATTTTCACATTCATTGTATTTTGGAATAAATCTAATGATTTTCCAAATTTTGTGTATATGCATATAGATATAGGTATATATAGATACATACAATGGGGGTAGGAGGAAGGCATGTGTCGATATCACTGGACGGTTTGAGGGACAAGAATTTGATGCAGTTGAAAAAGCTTAACACTGCCCTTTTCCCTGTCCGGTACAATGATAAGTACTATGCCGATGCTCTCGCTTCCGGTGACTTTACCAAATTAGGTCAGATTTAACTTCTTAATCTTTTTTTCTCCATTTTGTTAATTGTGTTTTTCTTGTTTTGTATTTTTTGAAAGTTGGGACAAATGATTTGTGATTTTTTTCCTTATGTTTTTCAGGATTTGATGTCATATTGCTGGAGATATATATTATTTAATCAATTTAATTAACTGGGCATATCTTGTTTTGCCGTAATACTAGCTATTGGAATAGAAACCGCACTTATAACGCTCTTGTCTGGGTCCTCTAAAGGATCTTGAGCGCATAAATAGGAAAATATGGTGATATTTTTTTTGCTTTTGGTTGGGGATTATTGAAAAAGAAAGCAACAACTAGCTGAATTAGTTGGTACCAATGCCAAACGTAGATGTAGAATTGGATTAAACAAAAAGAATGAGAGAGGATAAATTAGATTACATATCAAAATGAGCCTCAAAACCTGTTTAATGGAAAATTTCCATTAAACATCAATAAGTACATTTACTTTATATTGGTAACATGCAAGCACAACAAAAATCTCTAAATAATCTATGAGTTAATTTAATCAATGATCACTAAAGTTTGCTATGGGTTACAACTTGCTTACTAATAAAAAATATTCATTGCTCACTAAACATTGCTATAAGTTATTACTTGCTCACCGAAATTTAAAAGATTACCCATTGCTGATCTAAATTTGAACAAATTTGCTTGTTGCTCATTGAACTTTGCTATAGGTAATATTGTTGAAATGATATGAGGGATTGATGAGTAATTTTATTTAAATTTGGATGAGCAACGAGTAACTTTTTAAATTTCGGTGAGCAAGTAGTAACATATAGCAAAGTTCAGTAAACAAAAAGTAACATTTTAAATTTCAGTGGNAATCCAATTCTACATCTGGGTTTGTCATTGTTACAAACTAGTTCAACTAGTTGGTGCTTTCTTTTTCACGTATACAAACTTGTTACTTCACGTCTTCACCTGGAGTGTTTTTGAGGACATATAATCGTTTCTTGGTCAGAAGCATAGGTGTTTCCTTTTCTTATCCTCCACTTTATCAGATTTCTAGTCAGTGTTTTTCTTTGATAAATAGCTAATTCTCATTTTGTCCTTGAAACTGTTTATTGCTGATTACCTAAATGCTATTAAGGGTTTAACATCCATATTAGATGTGACTTGGATCTTATTCAGTTTAGTTTTATCTGTTGGGTTTCTAATCAACTATTCAGTTCTTGTTGCTTGAATATAAACTTTTCATTATGTTAATCTTTCTGTGGAAAAGAATTGGTGGGTTTATGTTTGACCTTTTCTTCTTGATTTTGCTTGGATGTTCAGAACCTTCAAAGTTTTCTGGTTTATGCTTGTGCTTTCTTGTGTTATCAAGGTTTTAGTTCATTGCAAAGATTTTCTTTTATGACTGATGCTAGTTGTTATTCTAACTAACAAAGTTTACTGCTTCCAATCAACTTCCATGCTGAACAATTTGCTACTGTAAAGAGCTATATCTGCCATTTATTGGGCTAACTTCTTTTTGCTGAGTAGGGACAAGAAGAAGGTTGATTATAAAGTGTAGCACATTGTGGGTAGACCCCTTCACAGCACAAAAGTTACATATTTGACCAAGTTTTCCATTAGGAAATCATCAAGTGAATTTGTCCAGAGTACTCCCTCTCATTAAGTTTAGCTATAGAGACATGGTGCATCAACATAATCGAAACCATAGTGCAATAGGTGGCACATTGTCAAGATATATGCCCTTCTATGCTTGTGTGGATTTTGGTTTCATGGGAATAAGGGACGAAAATCTTTAGCTTGGCCAAATGTATAAAACCATCATCATATGGTTAGTTCAGGGTAATATAGTTCGAAAATAGTGGTTTATTACTTACTAGCTCCAAATCTCTATGTACCTTGGTATATTAAAACTATCCATAGTCTGCTACGAAGATAGTTGAAAACCTATAGGTGCTTCTATTAATTAATTTAGCGATTGCCCGTCAACTCAGCAAAGGAGTATCTATTTATGTTTAAACTTCACTGCCTACAGCATCTCAGCATTTCGTGTGGCTTTAGGGTTGTTTAGGTTTTAGGGTTTGGGGATTGTGAAGGTAGTATCTTACTTATACTCAAGTGGTGTTACTTAGCCCCTATTTAGGCTCCATTAATTCTAAGCCCCTGTTTGGCCCCCCATTAAATTAAATTTCATTTTTCTCTTTCTTATTTTTAACCACAATCATCCATAAAACAATATTAAACGTAAACGGAAGACTTTTCCTTCTTTTTCAACACGTCATTTTTGAAAACAATACTATTACATCCGTTATAATTTGAAATAATGGGAGCCAAACTGGGGCTAAAATTCATTTTTTCTTTCTCTTCTTTTCAACCACACATTTTTTAATAAAATAATATTATACGTAAAATCAAAACATTTTGTTTCTTTTTAACTACACATTCTTCAAAAAATCACTATTACAAAATAGATTTTCCCCAAAAAATTTAATTATAATGGAGCTCAAACAGTGGCTTATTGGGCTGATATTTCATCCATGTGACAAAAATAATTAAAAAGAGGAAATTAAACTAATGTGCTCTTGAACAAATTTCAGCTTCATCTCATATTATTTTATGGTTGGCTACGTAGATACTCTTTCGATTGGCATTCAAAATCCCCACACCAAAATGAGTAAAAAGAATGATCCTCAAGATGGTGCAGTATGACTTATTACTAAGGCAATTGCTGTAACATAAACTTAGAATAATTGTTTCCACCTGCACTGTGAAATGGCCTTGGCATCTGGTTGGTTGAATCACGGACAAAGCTTTTTGCGTCCAGGTTTTAGGATTAAATAACTGACTTCAGGCTAATGATGCTTAAATTATTGACTTTGAAATATGGGACCATAATGGTGAAACCAAGGAAACAATTGCTGTTATTATTTGAACAAAATATTGAGATGTGTACCTGAAAGCTACAAACTAAGGGTCTAAACTTTTTAAGGTACCTTGGGATTATAGCAGTAGATATAAAATTAAAAGAATGGCAAAAAGTTATGACTTAAATCTAATTGTTATCCACCGCATACTGATTTAGAAACAATAAAGCTCAATGTTTTGACTAAATTTAATCAGTTAAATTATGTGGTGGTGAAAATGTTCTGTGCGTATAGAAGAGAAGGCTGATGGACACAGGAAAAGAATAACCACATGGTGAGGAAAGTTGGAGATAACAATGATATCAGCAGTTGATGTGGTGGATGTGAATTGCCTACTCATATAATTTTCAATTAAGTCTAATTAATTCAATTTTAAACCGCTGTCATATTGCCGTTTAACTTGCAATTCGTGTCCTTCAAATTGTTGAGCATAGCTTGAATTTGTGTCTTCTACTTGTCAGTGATATTAACATGCCTCTTTTCATCTTTCTGCCTTTTAGTTTTAACTCTTATCTGCTGGTGACTCGTGTTCAAGGTATATGAGATTACCAAACCCTAACAACCTTATACAACTCTTCTGACTTAAGAATGACTTTATGGAGAACATGCTATATAGCTCCCTTTATCAATTATCATAATACTCCGTCAACTACTAGAATGCATTTGAATGATTCTTCTGAAAGCACGACGCAGATTGAATGGCATAACACACTAAGACTATTTGCATGAACCAAATTAAAAACATCTCAGAAGTAACTATAGGTCTTAAAATCCCACATGTTACTAGTTCCTCCTTTGACTAAATATTAATGATCATGTTTCTCAGTTTTCTGTATGGCGCTCTTTATTTTTTCTAAATTAATCAATTTATAAAAAAGTCACCAAATATATGTGAAAACCATCTACCTCATGTTATTCTCATTGTCCACTCAGATGTTACCAAGATATCTTTAAATTTGGTTATCTTTTGTTTTTCCAGCATATTACAGTGACATTTGTGTTGGATCGATTGCGTGCCGTCTTGAGAAGAAGGAAGGTGGTGGTATTTGTGTATACATAATGACATTAGGCGTCTTGGCACCTTATCGTGGGATAGGTATTGGTAAGTAATCAGCTAGCCTTAG